GAGTCGTTGCAAAACGGCTGCAGCACGCGAAAGGCCCCTATGAACTCTGGTAGATTCATTCCCGAAAACTGTAAACAGAAGGTTGGGGGGGTCGGATAGGCGAAGTGCTCCATTCCGTCATTCCGAGGGACGTTCTAGAAACACATGAGCCACTGTCATCGTTTGGGGTAATTAAGAGGGATGAGGCATTGGGGAACCATCATATAACATAACCACGGAAAGGAGACGTATGTCTACCCCCAAATCAGAATCCACCGTGTCATCCCAAAACTTCGTTACAGTGCTGATCTTCATAGTCCTTGAAATGCCTGAACCTTCACAGTCACGAGCCTGGCAAGGATTCTGCTGTCTGTTTTCTTCCTCGCCTGGCCACCTCTGTTGGGTGTGGTTCGTCAGGGCCGACTGGTTGCTGCACGAGCACATTTAGCTGGTGCTGGCGAATCATAATTAGTCACAGGCGGTTGGTCACCACAGTGCCAATTCTTCACCTGGGCCGTTGCTGGGATAGGGCTTAATTCGGGATTACAGACTGTGCGGCCGAACGAACGTGTACGGCTAACATGCAACCAGCAGCTGCAGCATCAATGCGCCCATGATCGTGGTGCTGATTGCGGCAAAGATGGACGTGGGCTGAACCCCACTGACCTGGCCTCCACTTGCAGCCGTCCTAGGCTGGCTCATTCTTGGGAACACGGGGGAAAATTTCCCATGCTATGCAAATGCATATATACTTGGGCATCTGTCCAAGTGCACATGTAACACGACACGTCTCTGTCTTCGGTCGTTCTTGCTCTGACACTCTCCTGGAATCTAGGCTTGCAGAACGTGCGCGCCGAGAGTCGTGGTCGTCGTGGCATTCGGGTCCGTCGTCGTTGTCATCGTTTCCGTCATGGTCACGGTCATGGACATCGTGGTGGTAGTGGTCACCGTCTCTGTAGCACTGGCCAAAGTGGCCAACAAAGCTGCCGCGAAGACTGCGATCGCCCGAGAGATGGCCATGTCTGCTGTGCTTGGAAGAAGTTCGCGGTCACTCTCGGCTTCGAGTCGTTGCAAAACGGCTGCAGCACACACTTGCGTCTGGAATGCCATATTTTGCTGAAGTGCTAGTCTTAAACCTCCCCTCCATAATCCGCAACTCTGAACCCGAAAGTCCTATAAATCTGGTTTTTCTGAGGAAGGGGCTACAGTGCACATGCTGGTGCTGGCCTGGCGTGACGTGGTGTTGCAGGTGATGCCTGTTGGTGCTTCTGGAGAGGTTTGTGTTGCCGGTGTTGCTTTCGCTGGCGTCGCAGGGCCCAGAATGCATAATCCCCTGGACGGGGGGCTTGACGGGACGCAACGCGCAGCAGTACGCAGTTTGGCACGTTTGAGGCCTGCAGGGCCTCTTGGAATTGCTGCGCCGTCTGGGACCGCGAACTGATCGCCAAGACCACGTAAGAATCCGGAATCGCATGTTCAGACTCCGAAACCGAACCGAAGGGAACGCATTCCTGCTTGTATAGAACTTTGGGACACAGCCTCGTCCTCTTCATCTGCACGAAGGGGTGCACGTCGAGCGGAGGCCGTCTCTTCCACCTTGGGGTTCAAGGTCTGTTGGAAACATGTCTAGAGTCTAGACTAGTGTAGGGCATATTGGGCTTAAGGTCCACAGGGTCTAGGATGGAACTCGGAGATTGGCGCCTTCAGAACAGGGAGGTATGTAGGTTCGGGAGTTGGGGGTTGGGAGTTGGGGGGCCTTCAAGAATCAGGGTCCAGGGAGGAGTGCACAGGGCTTGAGGATGCAAGGCTTCAGCTCTTGCCTTCACGGGAGATGCTGGGAGTTGTGAGCTGGCCGAAATGACTCGAAATGATACTGGGCCTTGCTTTGGCTGCATGATTCACCTGTCTCACTTCCTGCAGCCCAGCACGTCTGTAGCGTCCAAGCCTTGACAACCGTGGATCTCAAGATACACGAAATTGAAGGCGCGCCAGACAGGTCACTGCATCAGTTTCTACTGGCAGCGTCAGGCGTCTTTGAATAAGTGGCGTGCTGAGGGTGCCGCGTCGAGAAAACCTCCGTCTGTTGGCACCGCGGAGTAGTACACCCTCACAGGTGACAGCAAAGCTTCCCGACACTGGCAGTAGAAAACACGTGAAAGGTGTGTGACGTGCGGAACAGAAAACCATAGTCATAGGGCTTTGGACAGGCTCACTGGGGCCAGTTGTAATGTGTTTTTGCCGAGGCGAGGGCGCTGTCACCGACCGTCGAATCTCAACAACATCTAAAACTTTACCTCCTATAGACCCCATTGTTCAAGCTTGGCAAACCTGAGTTTAGGACGCTGTCAAGTACCCAGCTGAGCTCCGGTCCCACTGGCAAGTTGTGGCAGCCTTAGTGCATGTAAAGTTTTCGGATGCTGCAAGACATCCCGATCAAGGGGTCGGGGTCAAAACTAAAACCCTCAACCCGAAGCCCTTAAACCACCACTTTCTGCGTCAATATTTGTACAATCGCCTGAATGGTTGCGCCCAAACGGCCGTTCAGCTCTTCTGACTGCACCCTCATGCCTGGCACAAAACACTGGAACAGTTCAAGTCAAAGACGGACAGACAGACAGACAGACAGACAAACAGACACAAACGCACGCACACATACCAAGACAATTAGAGCTCTAACACCTCTATCCCAATCGCCCCAGCTACGCTGTCTTGCAAAGTTTGGAAGCATTTCTCACACGGAATATACGATTTGCCACTATCAAGGCTGCATGCAAAGTCATGAGACGCGGACAGAAGTTAGGTTTGTAGATAGGTTGCATTTGCAATGCGAAGAAGGGGAGTTTATTGGTGCAACGCACACACACAAGCCACGCAGGAAGGGTCAGATGCCCCTCGAATTCCCCGCTCCCTCTTCAGGCCATGTGGCGTGCTCGAGATTTCGCCGGAATACCGGCGGCAGGCCCAGACCTTACTCGCCATGCCGGGAACCCTGTACACGCATGCACCTCCTGGCTGTATGGTGGTTTCGATTAACCTTACAACAAGTTTCGTATAGGCCTTTCCACTCACATCAGCGAGGCAAGCAAACGGATTTTCAGGACGCGACCGGAGACACCGACAAGAAAAAATGGCTTCAGTCTGTTAGGGTTTGAGAGTTTAGGGCTTTAGGGCTTAGCTTCGAACTTCGGATGCCAAGAGACATACAGACCGACATGTTGACGAGAACAGTGACTGCCAAGATCATGGCCGAGCCATGTCAGAGTCAGTCGAGCTTATGTTAGGCTTTTATCACCCGAGCTCAACCATATGACTCCTCATCTAAACCTGAGTTCACCAAACACTCGAGGCTGTGATGCAAAGCCCTGGATCCTGCAAACCCTGGACATCCCTCAACCCCAAACCAAGGACTCTACATACCCCAAACATCCCTAATCCCCCCTGCAAAAAAAAACACAACAGCACGCTCGATGCTCTGAGTCTGGGCTCTTGTTGAGAAACTTGATTGAAGTTACCACTACAGGGAAATCATACTATTCACTCCGAATCCCGACTATGGTACCTTAAGCCCTGAACCCTAAACCCTCATAGAACCCTTACAGAGGCCATTACGGGGACCCTTGTAAACCATGAAAAAGGGACCCTTCGACATCCCGATTATAGGATCTTCGGCCATGCTGCCGCTGCTCCAGAGCCGGCAAGGATGAGGGCCCCATCGCCGATGCTGGAAGCGCTGAGCCTGATGCAGGCGTAGGGCTTCAGGGCTTTAAGGATTTTCGGGTTTAGGTTCTTAGGGGTTTAGGGTCCTAGCGGTTTAGGGCCTTGGGGTTTAGGGTCGGCTTTAAGGTTTAAGGGTTTAGGAGTTCCTTTGAGGGTTCCTCCCTCGAGGGTTCTTCTAAGGGTTCGTTTTAAGGGTTCCTTCAAGGGTTCCTGGGTTCCTTTGAGGGTTCTGTGTCTAAGGGTTCCTTTGAAGGTTCTTTCAAGGGTTCCTTTAACGGATCTACGGAGCATGAACATAGAAGAATGTCGGTGCCTTAGTACAACAGGGCCTGGGGGTATATACTACCAAAACCCTTTTTGCAACTGGCTTGCAACGTCGCGCCAGGACAGCTGACTCGTTCCAGAAACCCTAAACCCTAAACCCCTATGTTTTTAACTACATTGAGGAACCCCGAGTTGAGGCAGGTTAGATTGAGGCCCATGTAGGTATGAGGGTCTAGGGTTTCTTTAAGGCCCATGGTTCAAGGTTTAGGACTTAGTTCCATGTCTTGTGGGGTTTAGGGATGAAGGCGTGCAAGCAGGCTGTGACGTTTCAAGCGCAAACTATGCAATCTCGGTTTGAGCACTTGAGGGATGATGGGATCATGGGCACTAAGAAGAAGGCTTGAATCCTCAATACTTTTTCGGTGTTCAAGGCCCGTGATTCAGAACTGAGAAAACTTAGGGAGACTAGCCTTTCTATATGAACCCAAAGAACTTCAAGACACCTTTGTGGTGCATCCACAGTCATTGGGACGACCAAGGGATGCTGTAGTGGATCCTTAACGAATAAACCTGCGCCCTTAGCTATTTTTGGGAAGTAGGCTCTAGATCGTGCTTGAATTAGACTCCAGAGCTCTTTTGCCAAGGACCTGAGGGATAGGACTCAGGGTTACGAGGGCCTCGAATTGTCATGCCCCAAACAATGGGGTCATCTATTGGTGTGGAGCTAACTTAAGACAGTGCAGAAGTGCAGCATGAAATGCTTGTAAACACCAGCAAAGTATTAGAGATAGGCTACAACCAAAACAACTGACGACAGTCAAAACA